GTTTATTTAATATTTTTTGTAAACAATGCAATTGTGAACTTTTAGGCCAAACATATTGCTGATGTTGGTAGAGAAGATTTAAGAAATTTTATTATGAGGTCAATGCCCATGCTGCTAGACAGCCTTGTCGATCATAGCTTCAATTTAAACGGGCAAAAAGGAAAACAACCTTTTAAAACAAATGCACTTCTATTAGTTCTTTGTAGTGAGTATAAATTTGGTTTATATATTAATGGATACTTACGAGGACATTAGCAGTAACGGGGACATTTTAGTGTACTCGATAATTTTTTGTCCTCGTAAGTAGCGTTTTTTTGTAAAAAAATGTCCCCGTAAATAGTTTTTATGCAAATCGAAAAGTACATACATCGACTGACAAATATCCTGACTCGCAAGGGATTGTTGCTACATCGACTGAGGGTTTGGTTTGGCCAGGCAGCAAGGTCAGGCTAAGGGTTAGGGTTAGGGTTATTGTTATTTATTTTAATGTAAATAATCGTTTTTGTAAATATATATACAAAAATGTAAAATATAATAGATAACAATTAAATAAAAATAATAAAAATATTTATAAAAAATGAACTTTTTTACAAAAATAATAAATTTAAAAATAAATAAATGAAAACTGACATAATATAAAAATAAAAAAAAAAGAACATAAGAAAAGTATTATAAAAATAGAGAAATAAAAATTGCGATTAACGGGGGGAAAAAAATGTACCCGTAAATCAAGCACTAGTAGTGTGTGTGTATATATATATATATATATATATATATATATATATATATATATATATATATATATATATATATATATATATATATATATATATATATATATATATATATATATATACAAACTAGAATTGGCTATATTTAAAAAACACGCTTTAATTTTTACATTCAGTAAGATCTCCTTGTTTTGGAATTAGTGAAGATATTGAGTTTTTCATAGAGTGGTTTGTATTTTTTTTTTTTACGAAAAGTATTTCGTAAGCAAGTTCTTCAAAGTCTTTTTCTAAATTGTGCCAAAATGTTTTGTAAAATTCACCTGGAAATCCATCATAGCCCGGAGATTTTCCGTTTTCAAATTTAAAAATGGCTTCTTTTAGCTTCGCGCCATTTAGGCGGGTATTTAAAATTTAGTTTTCATCATCACTTAAACTTTTGGTGATGTGTGACAAGACATAGTTTTCACTCGTTCACAGACATGTTTACTCGTCAATGTGCTGTCATTCTTGCGAATTTCGGTAATTGACTTCTTCTGTTCACGTTTTGTCGCTCCCGTTAGGTTTCGTTTTCAATCCTTTTAATTTGTTTTTTGTTTTTTGTACTTTCCTGTATCGAAATGTGTTGTAATTCAGCCCTAAAAAAAAGTTTGCAGGCGTCCCACTTTTTTAAAATTGACTTATAGGACTTTTTTTTGTTTGCAATTTTTGAAATAAGAGTTTAGTTTTTTGTCTATGCACCTCTATTTTCGATAGGGAGCAATTCAATTTGGTCCTCTCCTAGTTCTACTACAATTGACAGTTGTTGACACGAACTTGTGGTCGGAAAAGTGGTTGGTGAGAATTTTGTTGTATGTTGTTTTTTTGGCGACTGCATCAGGGCAGTAGTTTCTGTCGAGTCTACATTTAACCGTCTGATTGCACCATATGAATTCTCTTTTGTTGGGAAACTCATAACAAAAAACATAGACTAGGTTATATTATCTTGTAAGACCCCAAGCAATGCCCTTGGTGTGATATTTTGCATTGTTCGAGCCTTCTGTGTCAAGAGGCAGGCTTTTGATCATGTTGAAATTCCAGGCCATCAGGACGGGTAGTCCTGTGTCCTGCGAGAACTCTCCAAGGTCGCCAAAAAATGGCGCCTTTCTCTTATCATATTTGGTGCGTAAATGTTCATCACTTGCATTTCATGTTTATTAATTTTTATCATGACGTTTAATATTTTTAGTTCCGTTTAAGAAATATTGGATTTAGAGAGAATCGCCACCCCGCAACAACTATGACTTCGACCAAAGTTCTAAATAGATTCGCTATTCCATTTGTCATCTCACTGCTTTACAGTGCACGGCCCAGATTTTTTTCCTGAAGTAGGATAAGATCAAAGGAGGAATTATTAAGAAAACCAAAAAATTGTCGCGTTTGGTTTGGTCGTTCAGACCGTTCATGTTGTATGTTAGAATATTAATGGCCATGATGGAGAGGATCAGTTTTCTTAATTTGAAAACTCGTGTAGCTTAAATATACATATAATAATTTTACAACCTGACGTAAAAAAACACACATATAAACCTTATCCTTAATGCACGAGTTTTCGATTTAACTGACGTAATAGAAACAGATGGATTGTTAAATTTAATTTAATATGTATTCATAAATGTGTCACGTGAGTCTAGCTTTATAGAAGAAAAACAGAAAATCAAACATAAAAAGAATAAGGTAAACAATAATAAAAATTTATAAATATGCCACAGTTTTTAGGTAATAAAATGGTAAGGGCAGAGGCGGATGCAGAATTTTTTATGGGTGTTGCCTGTTTTTTTTCGAGTTACTAAAATATAGATGGCGATATTTTTTTTTAAACCCCTCCACCGGGCTAGCGAGGGGGGGAAGGGGAATGTTGCAAAAAAATGTTGCCAACTATATTTTGGCATCATTACTTAGTTATTACTTAATTGACATTGTTCTGAATTACCCATATAAAACAAAACTAATAACAATATTGCCTTAGCTATTCGGTTCATAAGTTAGACATTTTTACTTGTCTAACCTATTTAACCAAGTGCACCAACGAGAAGGTAAGCCAAAGGACTTTGCACTCCATCTGTGAATTGTTATATGGCCTAAGGTTAGCACTCCATTTCTGGATTCTTTTCTTGATAGACAGTTAGGCCAAATTTTTTTTTTAAGGTTTTTTTTTAATTTTTTTTTTTGTGGGTTTTTTTAAGTTTTACTAAATATAAGATAAACTTAACAAAAGAATAAAATAAAAAACAAAAATATAGTCAGTTAACAAAAAATAAATTAATAAATTTATATTAGATAAATGTCATGCGGCTTTGCATATAAGTTTTCAGTCTGCGTATAACAGAAATGCTCCTCTCGCATTCACATGTAGTAATTGGAACTGTTCCCAATATTAAAAAACCTTCTCTAATGTTTGAGAAACCCCTCATATCAATAGATTTTAACGTTTTTAAAATAGTGGATGGAATCACAAATTGATTGTTCCAAAATGTTTCCCATAAATGTAATTCAGCATGAATTGATGTAGGATGAGACATATTCGATATATAAAAATGCAAAAGTTCCATAAAATATAACTTCCAAAAACATTTTTTTTTATTTTTTATTACAACAGTTTCAGGAATACCAGATAAACCTTTGTAAACAATCATCTCACCTTCATCAAATCTATCTTCTTATTTATTAATTAAATAATCTAGAAGAGGGGTGTGATGGAATATTTGAAATAATCTTAGGCTGTGTCAGAGGTATAATTATCTCTATAAGTTTGTCTGCCACAGAGCCTTGGTTTACCTTCTGAAACATTAAGTGTCTTAGCTAGATCAAAAGCAATTAAGTACCATTCGTTATGATAGACAACAATATTTTTTTTTTAATCTAAAACTTGAGTTTTTAAACAATTTATTTCATTACACTGTTGTGATATATCAAACGTTTTAGTTTGAAGAACAAGTGATGGCATAGAAATAGTCCTTATTTTTTTAGTTAAAACTAAATTTAAAATAAAAGAAAATTTAGTGGTTAGATTTAAAAAACATAAAGCTTTTGAAGAAGTATCAATATTATAACTCTTACCTTCATTGTAAGCTATTTCTTCCAATTAATAAAAAACGGATAAGTAGTTGTCAAAAAAAACATCTAGACCTTTAAGTTTCTGAACCCATCTAGTTCGACGTGTATCAATTAACTTTGCTTGACCAGGAAAAATGTATTTATTGAGACACATTTGAGGTGATAAGTTTAAAAAATATGATATATCTTCGATTTGATCAAGAACATTTCTAAGACTCTAAACATTGCATGATTTACTCACAACTAAATTAAGTTTATGGTATGCACAATGAACAAAAATAGCCCTTGCAGAAGTTGTGTTTTGCACAAGACTAAGACCAGTTGTACCAGATTTACATTCAATAAACCATGGAAAGTCTTCACAAGTAAAAATATCACAGTCAATGTGATATCTTATAACTTATCTTATAACTAGAAATAGCTGTTAAACATTAGAACAATCATAGGCTCCATCACACAAGATGGAAAAATAACCTGACTTTTTAATTTTATTAAGTAGAACTTCTTCGATTGTTTTTCCACAGCATTCAATAAGTTCGTTTTGTGCGGTTTTAGATATATAGGTTGCATTTTTAGGAGCAGAACGATTATGGTACTCAAGAACTTTATCACCTGCTTCGATACAATTATTTAAAAGCTCAACAAAGTTACCTATACCGATGTTGTCTTTACATGTTTTCATTATTGAGCTATTGTTTGGAATTCTGCTTGCCAACAGTTTACATGGAAGGCAGTATGCTCCATTTTCAAGCTGTGAGTAAGCTAACCAGAAATATTCAAGTAGCCGTTTCTATAAAAATAATTGTTTCTTTTTTTGACCAGAAACAGGAAAAACAAAACACAAGTTAGGAATAAATATTTTATTAATTAGATCTAATAACATTGAATCATCTTTGCCAGCAGATAAATGCCTACCGCTCATTTGTTTTAAGCTTCTTTTTTTATTAGTTCAGCAATATTCTTATCATTTAATTATGTAAAAGAATCAGAAGACTTAAATAAAACACATGCCGTAAAAACACTAGAGAGTGAAGAAAAACTTTTAGATTCCACTTGGTTTAAGATTATCTCGAATAAAAGGTTGCAACCAACCCAAGTATTATTAATTTTAAAGGTACGATCAACTAAACAACAAACAATTCCAAACTTGTAGCAAGAAGGAATAAAACTTTTCAT